ACATATTCTTTTGTCAAATTAAATTCAGTGCAATTAGAATGCACGCCATGGGCTGGTCCTTTCTTACCCCATGAAGGCTGCGATCCTGTCTTACCCCATTTGATAGTTGACATAATTATTATATAGTTGACATAATTATTTCACTGTAAAAGACATTCAGTGTAAAAATTGATCAGTTCAAGAAAAGCAGCTAGTAAAGAGCATCAAAAATCGTGTCCTGGAGATCAACATGCAGTTGGTGAATGGCACAATGGCAGAGAAGTGGCATCTTCTTAAGAGCTCATTGTACTACTTGGCTTAGTGGCGGGAGATGTAATGTGCATGTGTTGGGCCTTCTGATCCATTTTGTTATATAAACGTGAGAATATATTGCCTATCCAGAATTCTGCACTAGTATTGGCATTGATGGTAAAAAAGAGTAAATTACTTGACATTATTATTACATTCTCAAGATTTCCAGTTCATTAAAATTATACAATTGTGAAGATGCAGATGTTTGGAAAAAGAAAAGTTTTTAATCTTGTCAATTCTTGGTTGGAGATATATAGCAAATATTTAGTTAACAGAAAGCATTAAAAATTTTTTTACTTAGAAGCATTTTTTTTATCTAACTGAGTTGTCTGAAGTGAAATATCTATAATAAAAGAACTACAAATTGAACACTTTGAATTATTCCCTTTTGATAATAATTAGTGATTATGTAACTCAATTGATTGCAGCAATCATAGGCATTCATTGTCAACTTTATTCTAGCATTATTCAGTCACAGTCCTGTAATTATTATTATACAGCTTCAATGTTTGGAGAGAACTGGTCTCGAGGCACTGGAGACAAACGTCGGCCATGGTCTGGCAGAAGCAGGTAGTAATTTTTGAGACTGTGTATTTAAGACCTATTATTCTAGTTCCAAATTAATTAATTTTTCACTCTTGAATATAATTGCAAACTTGAGAAGTTTTTTATTTTGAGTGAACAATTTGTAAGATGAAATCATGAAACATGTATTTTTATATATGAAGAGCATTAAATATATAGATTATATGTTATTTATCCCAAACAAGATACATTGATGGAATAGTAATGACATAGTACTGGTAGTATTCCAGTGTCTTTTTTCATCTTTTCATGACATTCCTTATTTTTGTTAACAGAGGTTCACGTCGGATACCTGGTAGAACTGGTGCTTATCCAAGAGGATACAGAAAGCCAGAAAATGCACCGCGTGGCCGGATGTCTGCTTATGCATTTTTCATTCAGACCTGCCGTGAAGAGTACAAACAACAGTTCCCACACCAACCCATTGTATTCAAAGACTTTTCAAAAAAATGTGCTGACAGATGGAAGGTGAAGATTGACCATAAATTAATATTGCATGTAAATAAATTGGTTAATAATAAATAATTTTTGCAATTTGATTTCACATTGTATAATTTTAAATAGTCTTTTAGAAAGTCACTTCCAGTTTGGCTGTCACTATTATTAGGATTTAGAAATGCATTTTTACATGCTAAAAATATTTCACTAGATTTGATAAAAATAAGAATTTAGTCAAAATATCTTCCATATTATTAATAATGACCTTTTTGGTTAAATCATATTTGAATATTTGACAGGTCAAAAACATAAAAATGATTATGGTATGTAAAAATGAATCATCATTTCATTCTGCCTCTACATATCATTGATATTTTTTCTGATGATTTTTATAATTTATTTTCAATCCTAACCATATTATAAACCATAACAATATTCTATAGATTTGATTTCCCTTCAAAGTGTTTATCTGGTGAGCATTATATGTATTTTAATGTATCATTTTTATAATTTTCCTCGTGCTGCAGACCCTGACTTCTGCTGAAAAGCAGCATTTCTCAGACATGGCGACTCAGGACCGAGCTCGCTATGCCAAAGAACTGCAGAGCTACCGTGGACCAAGAATACGAAACAGAAGACGGAAAACGCGAAAAGATCCAAGGGCACCAAAACGAGCTTTGTGAGTTGAAACCTTTCTGGGAAACTGTTTTCTTTCATCTGATAAAAATCAAAAGAAACAGGAGAGAAGTAAATTTTATATAACCATGGTATAGCATCTGTCATGATTTATATACCTGTACTTACTCATAAATGAGAGTTCTCTCACTTACTGAATTGCTTTTGATGCTTCATTAAATTTGCATACTTTTTTAATTTGTGCTCCATTAACCCGTCAGCTTTGTTTATCCAAGCAATAACAAATGCATTAAAATATTTGACAAATAAAATAACATTGTTCTTCTCTCATTCTTGTAATTTCAGGTCTGCATTCTTCTGGTTCTGTAGTGACGAGCGACCTAAAGTTAGGACAGCAAATCCCGGGGCCAGTGTAGGGAAAATCGCACGTGAGCTGGGCAGTCTCTGGGCCTCTTCTGATCAGCAGGTCAAAGATAAATATGAGAAGATGGCCGTCCAGGACAAACTTAGATACGAACAGGTCAGTATAATACTCTATTTTGAACGTAAGAAAGTAATAACCGAGTCATTGGAACAGCTTGTTGACATTAGAAGGTAGATCTGAAATGGTTATTAGAACTAATGACGCCATTAAAATGGCCTTGACCTTTATGAACATTGCAGCAAGTCTACTCAAGTCATGGCAAGAGAAATTCATTCAGTGTATTCGAATTTTGCAAAAATAAAGTCAGACAGAAGAGTGAATAGTAATTTTTTCGTTATTGTGGATTCTATGTTAACTCGTACAAGTACCGTCCTGCTTGCTAAGTTGTTTTTAACATAGCTGCATTAATAACTTTGGTTGTACGAACAAAAGGTCTTGTTGTGAGAGTTATGTTCTTCTTCGTGATATTTACCTTTTTAGCTCAATTTTTGCTGTTTGTTTCCCTTAGCTTACTGCCTCACTATCTAGTATCTCATTTCCTTTTACCGTATGGGTATGGCTTCTCCTTATTTAATGCTTGTCGTCCAAGTTTTCTTGCCTCAAGTCGTGTGTCTTGTATATTTTCTGCCAGGAAATGGAAGAGTATAAAAAAGGAAATTTTTCCCGCCACGTTGAAGGCATGGAAGACCTGCCACCTCCTGACCCCAACAACCTGGGCAAACTGCCAAACGTTAAGCGCTACACGTACCTTCCCCCCCGCCTGATTCCGCACCAACTCTACCTCGGCCACACCGTCGGGACAGACGCCGCTTCTATAGCCAAGTGCTCCTCTGATCACACTGAAGAATATAATGAAGATGACTATGAAGGACTAGAGGAAGAGGAGGAAGATGGTGACGAAGAGCTCTGTAATGAAGGAGTGATGGGGGAGGAAGACGAAATGGTCAGTGATGAGGAGATGGAGGATAATGATACAGTCATTGAAGATAATTTGCCTGATAGAGGACTCCCTTTATCTGATGGTCCGTAAATTTGGCAGCTGAAATATTCTGAAGCGATAATTTGTACTCCTGATCGTGCGTTAGTTGCTGGCTACCCTCCACTTCGTGTTCATGAGTCGTCCAATATGTTCTTGTACAAATTTCTTGACTTCTCTTTTATTTGTGCTTCTCTGATTACTACCGTACCTCCAAATTTATGACGAACATTTGTGTTGTTTTTTTTTTACTTATTTTATCCGAAGGAATTTTTTTCATGCAATCGAATTCCGGAGCTGATGGAAATGGCGTTGCCATGTTTTTGCCGTTTCCATTATGGTTTGAGTTTTATAGTGACAGTAAACAAAGGACTATCTTTATATGATGTTATGGCTTTCTTTTTCAGGCCTCTAAATCCATCACTCGAATATCGTGTTTCATATTTTGTGTAGATACACATTGAATTTATGACAAATCTGAAATTGTCATCTATTATATACTCCATAGCCCAATATACTACTGGATCTCATAGTATAAAATTCTAATCTGCGTCGCTTAAAATGAAATATTTAGTTAGTAATGAAATATTTTAGACCAGCATTGAGCTGTAGCCTTTCACAAGCGCCATGTCCCGTAACCTTCTATTTCTTCGTTTATTAAAGGTTGCAACGAAGGGGCTCTCTCGCGTATAATAGAAATCCGCTATGAAGCTGTGCTATTACGTCATTTTAGACATTGGCAGCCGTCAGAATTTAAATTTAATTAACTGATTATTTTTACATTGTTAGATTAGCGTTGAAAGAAAAATTATCCAATGACAATTTGACAATGGAAAAATTTATTTCGAGCCAGTTTAATCATGCAAGAACTAAATTTACCTCGCACTGGCAACTGTAACGTGTTGCTAGCAAGCTAAGCCATCAAAGTTACGACTTGGGGAATACCAAGCGTTTCATTCAGTGGATATATCAACGGGCAGTTATTGGAACAGCGCGCAGTGAGCAAACGTTTTCGTTTATTACCGAAAACCTGTCGAAGAACCAACTGATTGAAACAACTTCTCGTCATTTTCAGATTAAAACAGGATACCTGCTCTAGACGCCGTTTAACTAGTACTCAACCCTCTAATAAGCCTCAATAAACTTTAAATTATTCGATCAGTTAAAACATTTTTTGTACAAATATCCTTAATTTGTTACCAATCCTTAATGTTTATTTTCATGTTGATGGTAACCGTTCAATTATGCGGCTCAATTTGTCACAAATTGCATCGAGTGCAAAGTTTAAGGTAGACAGGGAAAAGAAAATCATATAATCTTCTAAGTTATTAATTTTAGGTTTACTAAGACGTGTACCATTACTTCAAGACGGATGCATAGCTGATTGTCTGCACAATCACCCATCACATTCGGTAAATATCTATTAGGTACTCTATTGTACGATCAGTAAAGTGATGAAGTATTCTATGCTGACTTCCCATTTTTTATATTCAACAAATTTTTACGAAACTACCCAATTTCTTTGCCCTCAGCAATAATTTTTATCGTGAAAAAAATTTTTTCGCCAATTTCTTTCGACTCCTTGGGATCAATTACACAAAAGTGAGCTTGGTGCGAGCTTGGTTCTGCTGCCAGACGTTTAGTTCTTCATACTCTTCCAGGCACTCGGTTACCTGAAGACGAAAGTTGATGTAAACCTCTTCAGCAATTCAATCAAGTGAATCATCATGTATGATACAGTATTATGCATAGCAACCATGATTATAAATAAAAAAATTTCAAATATTCTCACCTGGTCTGGTTTGTAGCCTTTGCTGGTGCATCGCTCAAGAATATCCGACATTTTGACAATCTTACTGTCGCCCGCCATCTCGCGAATGAGCGTGAAAATCTTGTCGGTCACCGTTTGCGCTCTGAAACAGTTTTAATTTCAGCATGCTAATGCATTCTAAGGAAATAATTAAATGATTACGAGCCATATATTTAAAAAAAAAACATTTCTTACAGGGCTATTTTCCGAGCACACAAAATTATTTGCTTGTACATTTTGTTCAGTTTGTTAGTAAACAGTAAGCTATGGGCTCACCTCCCGGCGCGTTCATCCATGTGGTTAAGTGAGTCTTTGCTCATCTCCATGAGCCTCATTGCTTCGTTGACGTCTTCTTTTTCAACCTGCGTTACGAAATAAATAAATACATGCACTGAAGTGGCCTAAATCAAGATGAAGAAGTAGAACTGAATTCACACAATATATAACCTCTCGTCATCAAACTGAAAATCAAGTCCTCAAATAAGTGCTTAAAACAGCATACATTCCAAGTGCAACTTGCTCTACTCATCAGCATGAATATTACAAACGATATAGCAACATAATGGTTAATTAATACGTTTTTACCGTTTCAAAAAATTGGACGAGTCGTTAAACTAACTAAATTGTTCCATGAGGAAAGTGGCAATGCTTCAAAAGGAACGCAATGCATGCGAAAGCCATAAAAACAATTAAAGATTAATAAAATTTGATATGACCAGCAATGCACACTTAGTTAACACATTAAATGCCCTAACCAATAACAGAAAATAATACCGTAAATTAACTGACCTTCCCTGTCACAAAATGGAAAAATATCGTATTAAAAAATATTCGTTCCTGAACACGCAAGTAACCTAACCAGTGATTAAACATAATACCATATAAAAAATCATTGTTACTAAACACTTAATTACACACCACATCGACAAGCCGTAGCCTAGCCAGAGCCGTGGCGAGGCGCAGCACGGCCAGGAGCGTACGGGCTGACGTGAAAGTCGTGTCGCGGTTGTTGCGCGCTTCTTTGCGCATCTCAACGTACGCCGAGACCAGATACTCAGTCAGGCTCTCTGGGATGGTCGGTACCTTTACAGAGGAAGAAACGTTACGTGGCCATCATTCTGTAAGGTAAGGGACAGTACAAATCGAAGGGTAAGGGATAGCACAAATAGAAATCAATTTTTTCTTTTTCATATGTTAGGATAATGAGTGTAAAAGTGAAGTCAAGAAAACTTTTAACCTTTTCAGACATTTTACTCACTGAGCGGCAAGGTAAAAATATTGTTTCATATTGTTTAACAAGTACATGAATGACACGAACCTTCTTCTTGCAGAGCGCGATGTAGCGACGCATAATTTTCATGTCGAGAGGATTAATTTGCATTGGTGGTTGCTTTGAGTACTGGTGCACGTAGGTGATATGTTGTGCAAGCCTGCCATTGTTAGCAAACGTTATGCAAGAATACACAAAGTTCAAAAAAATATTAATGCAATGTAATCAACCATTACATACGTGGTATATGTAACAGACCAAGACTGATTGATGAAAACAATACAATTACTATTTTACAGACACCCACTATTGATTACTAGGTATTAGAGACGTCAGGAGTGGACCGATCGTAAATTCTTAGTTGCATGAAAAAAGAAATTTGAACCCCAAGCATTATAAAACATTGCTCATTTCTCTAAAAAATCTTTCTACGATTCCACGCTGCTATGTTTGTCGACACTCACCTGAGATCATTCTCTCGGTCAGGCCTGTCTTGGATCAGCCACAGAAGGTCAAATCGAGACAAGAGGGCAGCAGGCAGCTGAATATTCTGCTCAACGCTTTTCTTGGGATTGTATCTGCCAAATGCTGGGTTTGCTGCGGCTAAAATGCTCACTCGAGCATTCAAAGTAGTCATAATTCCAGCCTGCAAAAGAATTATGACTGAAAAACGTCTGAAAATCATGATCTAAAAAGAAAAAGGCCAAAAAATCATCTAAACATGTACTTGAACGTATATTACAGTACTAGCAATCATTTAGCTCTCAGAGGGTAATGTTGTTTTGATTGAAAAGTAATTATAAAGCACCAATTTATTTTTTTCCGAAGTGATCATTTGGACCAAAATATTTAGTTAACTAAATCAGTGAATACATGAAAAGGATAATACACGAGTAGCTGAATGATACACACCTTTGCAATTGAGATGGTCTGCTGTTCCATGACCTCATGAATGGCAGTGCGGTCCGAGTCGGCCATCTTGTCAAACTCATCGATGCAACAGATGCCCTGATCGCTGAGCACCAGAGCGCCGCCCTCGAGCGTCATCTCCCCCGTCAGGGAATCCTTCATCACGGCCGCTGTAAGACCCACTCCGCTGGAGCCACGGCCCGTAGTGTACTGACTCCTACAAAAACATAGAATTTGAGTTTGGACATAATTAACAACATAACAATAAGTTCCAACTAATAATACTCGGGCATATATTGGAAAGGAAATAACAGGGTGAAATCTAAAAAACGTGCAAGTAACCGAGAAGAAACAATAAAAAGCATCTAGCATCAAGTTTTCTGGAAAATCCTGCATCACACCTCAAGGCCAGTCTGTTGATGTACGAAAGCAACTGAGACTTGGCCACTCCAGGATCACCCATGAGGCAGATGTTGATGCAGCCTCTGATCTTCATCCCGTTTGGATTACGATCAACGCCCCCAACTAGAAGCAGCAGCAGAGCTTTTTTAATGTCCTCATGGCCGTAGATTTCCGGAGCGATCGAGGACGCTAATTTATTGTAGAAGTCCTCTTCAGCGATCTGCTTGATCTCTGCCTCTGTGATGTCGTCGTCTCCCAACTCATCTTCTTCCATTTTGTTCATTCTCACGATTCTCTGTGAAGTGGAAAATCAATACAAAATAAGCAACTAATTAACGATCATATCGTGCAGTGAAATTTGCATTTTGATTACTCATGAAGCATATCAACAGCTTTTTCATGGTAACGAACTCTGTAGTATCTTCCTCTATATGTAAAGTATATAGACGCTGCAACTCAAAGTGAAGACCAAGGCCAATCGTACTGCAACTCAAAGTGAAGAGAATGATGAGCATACCGAATTCATACATGAAAGTATAATTGTACTTATAGGATATAGGATAAACTGAGAAGCAGAGCTCTCTCCAGAACATTTACTGAGCTCTGCCCCCTAAACTATTAGCATAAACTCAAAACAATTAAGAAGCAAAGACTACCTTCTCACGCCCATATATTAAGATCCTCAGCATCAACGCTCAAACACACTACATGCGTGCAGAACCAAAGCTTAGCACAACCGTACGATCAATAATAGTTATGAGTTTGTTGCACTACAAAATACAATAACTAATTGGGCTAACTAAAACATCAACTCAATCAGTCCATCACTGACGGTTTTCAAGCTAAACACACCAATCACAGACGAAAAATCGGCCTCTACTAGGGAGATCGGCCTCCAGGGTACTCTAGGGAGTTTCAATAGTACAGCATGATATTTAATGAAAAGCTATAAAGTTTACAAACAATACTCACGTGCGCCTCGAGGTAGGTGTCGGACAGCAGCCCTGAAACCATGGCTTTGAAACCTTGCCTCATCAGTGGCAGGAACACTCCACAGATGCTAACGTGGTCGCCAGGCGAACACTGACGTGTCTGTTCTCCTGAACACATCACGCTCAGTGAACGTGGGATGTTCCCAACTGGCACCTGACGATTCAATTTCAATTATTCCTTAAAGTATCGTTGAATAATTAAATGCGTGGGTGCTGAAAACACCAAATAATACAATTAGTTGAAAACAAATACATCTTTGCAATTGAAAACCAGTTTGGTTTTGCGGTTCACCGAGGCAAGCACTGCATTAGGTCACAGAACACATCATCCACACATTGGCAAGATGTATTAAAAACTACAACTTTAACACCTTCACAAAATACTATGAAGAACAAACCTGGTCCGAGTGCTCTTGAATTTTGATTTCCTGGAATTTTACAAATTTAGAGCCTCTGGTTTGTAGATATAAACGGCCGCCAGATTTATTAACACGGCAGTCATCGCTGGGACATTGGAGCTGCGGCATGAAGCTGGTGCTGGCAATCTGAATGGGTATAATTAAGAACCTTAAAATAGTCCAGATCATAACACACAATTGGCAATTAAAATTCCTCTAGCCATGAGTGTTTTCACCCAACACCTAATATTATTGCAAAAGGAACATTCACTGCTCATTCATGTACTATCATCCTTGATTTACTGACCTTTCAACGTGAAATGATGTAGTTACTAATTTTTTTCAGTATGGCAAGGGACGCAAATTAATGCAACATCAAAAGAATCTCAAGGCTTTTAGGTTAACTCACCCTAAAGTTCAAGTTTCCAAAATGATTTGGAAAGGCTTGGTAAAACAGGGTGAGTCACAGAAACTTCCTGTTTGTATTTCATGCTAAGCAGCCACATGTTGTAGGAAAAGGACAGGAAGTATTTCATACGAATGGCAAGGTCATGAAGTGTTGTGTCCCGCCCAGTCATTTGCTATTAACATTGGACAAGTTAGCAGCGTGCACTTGCTGTCGAGGTGCACTTTTCTAATGGCCCTTCCATTATCGCTACTCAATGAGCATTCTGTCCTTGGAATGCACCTCATCTACTTAATAGGTGACCTTATCTAACCAGCCCAATCACTAGATTTGGCTCCATGGGATTTCTTCATGGGGTTATCTCAAGTCAAGTGATTGCAATTACTCTCCAAGTACCCTACCTTATTTGAAGAACAAGCCGAAAATATTACGCCGAGCCATTGCCAACATACCCTTAATATGCTTCAGTGAGTTGAACAGAACTTCAAAAATCAACTAACTGAATGCAATGACAATAAGGGGGCCATCATTTGTCCAATGATATCTTTAAAACAAGGTGATGCAAAAATTTAAGTTGTTTTTAAATTTAGAAAGTTCATATTGTGATATCTTTAGTAGATAGTTTTTTTTATTAAGCTTTCATGTCAGAAAGTTTACATGGGGTTATAATCACCCAGTGTCTCACTACTTGAACTGCACCCCTTAAAGATATTCTCAACAAATCAAGACAGGTTTCATCTTATTCTTGCCTCAGTGGATTTCATGTTCTATTCTGCGAAAAAATGCTCAAAAACATGCAGAGATTCTGTCTGAATTTTGTTATCAACCCTTGAAATAATCATGAAACAATCTCCGCTTCATTTTATCATTGTTAGTTCTGCTGGTACTGACGGACATCTGTATTTTGTTGAAATGAGATCACAGTTAGTACCTCAAGTGAGAAAGTTTTGTTGAATTCTTTATTACTTACTTTAGTTTAAGCAATAGGTAATGAGTTGCTTTATTTACTTAACAATAGATAATAGCAACCACAGCTCAAAATACAATGATTGTGGCCGAGTGATTCGGTTTGCTCCACTGCTACAACACTGACTCACCGGCTGGTAGGTCTCAGCACCACACTGATCACAGGTGTACGTTGCTACTTTCAGCATGGGCTTCACTTCGGTGCAACGCGTGACAATGCCTCGCACGACCACTAGCTTGCCAATGTGAGAAGCCTTCACGCTGCGGACGGCCAGAGGCTTCTGGTTTGACGGCGCTTTCAGGTAAATCTCACTGAAATCACCCAGAAGATAAATGAAATTAGATAATACTATTTACTAAGCATGAAAGGCGCTGTTTTGAACACTTGAGGTAATCAAATCCAAACAAATATCAAGTCCTGAAATGCCATTTCACTCATTGGCAGAGCATTAATGAATAAATTAAAAAAAAAACGTTTATTATAACAGGTGAATTACTTTCTAACTTAAATAGAAGCCATAAACTCAAGCCTGTCATAGACAAATCAATTATAAATATGACTTACAAACGGCGCATGAGTTCAGGAGGATATCTGTTGCTGGTTGACCGAGCCTCACCAGGCTGCCTGGTGCGCTGCTCCATCATGAGACGGTGCTCAATGTACACATCTAGTGCATCACGAGCTACAGTCTGAAAAACAAGTTGATAGCATTTAGTGCCTCTGAACAATCGAGTTATTCTTCATGCATAATAGATTAATAATTAAGCATAAATTATGACATGCAAGAAGGTATTTTCAGCTAACAAAACTCTGTACATTAGATTTTACCCTCGATTCTTTTCCAGTAGCATATCATCTATTTATGTGACCAGTCACTTGACTAGCAACACCAAACAAAGAAGATGTAATAATTTCATGCAGTCTAAGCATCTAGGAAGGAAATGTATTTCTGAATGATCAAACCAAGCTTGTAAATTTAATACCATTCGACCTCTATCCCTGAATTTTTGTTAAAAAAATAAATTGATCTCTGCAGTGGATTTTGAATCATTAAATTTACTGAAAATCAATAATCAGTAGATGCTTTAGAATTGGTTCAACTCAAGATTTACCAGTCAGAAAAAAATGTCTTTATGAAACATAATCCATCTCTATGGCATTTATATAGAATTTGTACAACAATGTTATTATTTTTAAACCAAACCATAAATGGTAATACATTAAGATCTTGATCACGCAAAGAGCTTGTGAAAATATCTGCAAGTATCACAACTCACACCTCACACAACCATGACCTATGGGTTGCAATCTCACCTCTCTCTCCTTATAGTCTGGCAACATTTCATAAACCACCTCAGAAAAGAGGTTAGTGTAGCGCCGGGTGTTCAGCAGCATTACCTCAGCAAGTTCAGCATCAAACTCAGCTGAAATGGAACCAAATTTTTGGTCAATCTTACAATTCACGCAAAATGATTAGTCTGGAGCTGTAGTTGCCAAGTGGATATCTTGCATGGTCAAGATACTGTTCATAGATTTCAGCTCTTCTGTTTGGTCTCATTTTGGCCATTGAACTGAATTTTGCAGGTTATGATAAAGAAAACTAACAATGATTATTTGATCCATCAAGATTACCAAGAGATAAATTTGAGGATTTGAACAGAACCTCGGAAAGGAGAATAGGTCATATTTCTAACCATTATGCACAGACCTAACTGAACAAACAACTCAAGGGTCTAAATAACTCACAGCTAGGAAATCTACACTTGAGCAGTTCAGAAAGCTTTCTATGTTTTAGAAAAATGTACTTTGATACATAGTATGAAGACAAGTTGGTCATCAATTCCATTGATTGGTTATCACCAAAATTTGTTGACAAGCCCAACTGGCAGGGCATAAAATTTATCCAAGCTGGAATGAAATGCATGTTCACCACCATATTTCCTGAGTACAGCAACATCACAATTTCATTGATGCCAAGGTATGATCAATATGAACAGTGGTTGCTCATTCAACTATCTACAAGTTTCCAAAAAATCATTTATACAGGGCCCTACACATAATACCTACTTCATTTTAGGTGAAGATATAATGATATATTAATTAAAAAACACTGATTAATGATCTGAATTGGTATGAAATTGCTTTAAGACTGTAATTCAAGATAAAAATACAAGTCATTTTTTTTTCAGGACAACAATTAAGTGCAAACACACTTTAAAAACTAGAAACAACATGAATATAGAGATTTAGATGGCAATTCCTAACACTTGGGATGAAACATGATTCAAAATATTGTGACTATGAATATCTCAGATTTTGGAAATCTATACCGTATATTTAAAACCACTATCCTTTCTTATTTGATTACTTATGGTGAATTAATAGCAATTTGATCAAATGTCTAAAATTGATCAACCAGAAATTGCATTATTGTTGAAGCATAATACATGCTGAGCCAATATATCATTCAAACAGTCAACAGTAAAACAATGTGATAGTAAAAATGGGGACTGCATATAAACAAAACTTTTTCAGTTGGCAAATTGTCATCACAGATGGTGAATATAACTTTCTGCAAGTGAACCTACATTTTCACTTAATATTTAAAAAAAAAAATCTGTTGCATATACAATCTCAAAGTAAATGAAACCTAGAATCATAGATAATGAATTTCACACATGATGGCCTCAACAAGATTGTATAAAGTAGTTAAGAGGAGATTATTTTCCAATAAAATCACCTCAGTTTAAACATGAAGTATAACAAAAATTATGTAATTAACTATCAATCTTCTAAAACTCAGGTGATAAATTAATCAATCACTACCATTTACCTATATCATCCAAGTCAATGGTCAAGGACACCTGCTCTCTGTGGGCCAGTGCCACAAGCTGCCTGGCATACTTGAACTTCTTCCGGCCCTCATCATCAACTTCATGAAACTCGGCCAGGAATCGTTTGATGGCCTCTGTAATGAAAGATGAGTAAATTTTCATATAAAATGCATGTCAATTTATTTTTTCTCCGTACTAGAAGATTGAAGGGATAGTAGTTCCAGTCCGTAGATAAAGTTGCATGCATTGTGATATTTAGGAGGGTTAATGTATAAACAAGAGTATATATCATTTAGGATATAAAAATTTTGAAGCCATACATATACCATTTCCTTACATATCTAGCAAATAATGTTGGAAGTGAGTATGGGGTCCAAAATCAAAAATTTTCAGCTTTTCCTGTTTTTATGCTCATCTTAAAACTAACATTCTGACCTATGCAACAGTACCAAAATCTTCTCTGTATGTTGATTTATGCATTCACAACAGATCCTGAAAGAGTTACCTTTCATCGAGTCCTTCACAAAACCCTACCAGGAATATTAACGGAACCTGCACATATAAGCCTGGTTGACGGCCTCCAGCTTAGTTACCTCCAAACTGTCATGCGGGAAGATGTTCATGCAGTTGTTCTCTACATTGCTGACTTGCTTCTAGGTGAAAGAACACATAACTTTGCTATCATAGATATGGGAAATGGCTATATTTAGCGCGGTGCAACCAGCCAGCCATTTGTCAGTTCTCCTGGACATTCCTGAACATTGCACTTCCTCTCACTGCAAATCTATCCCCTCCTACAACTTTGAAGCTACAGAATTGAGACATATATCATTTGATTTGCAAAGAAAAGATCTAGAGATAAGTTCTAGGTTTTTATCAATTTTGTTCTAGTTTTGAAAATATTTTGCAGAAAGGGGTGGGGAAAAGGGGTGGGGGAAAATAAAAGAAAAAAAAATGCCCCCCACCCACAAAAATGAGAATTTCAAAAAAATCTAAGACCAATTGATAGATATGGTCTTTAGGCATTGAATGATATGCATCTCAATGTTTGAGCTTGAAAATCCTAGGAAATAGTTTTCTATGGTACCTCCTTTTTGGCTGTTTTCTAAGAATTTGCCGATTTCTTTCATTTTTTTTTTTTTAATTTACAAGAACAAAAAAGTTTTAGATTTCTGTTTTAAACATGTGTACCATGTTTTAAAGGGATCCGTCTGTAAATAAAGTTTTCCTGGGACCCAGATGCTCCTCTTAATACTTACTAAGTTCACCAAATACTCAATACTGAAAACAACATGTAATTATGGTTGATTTTCTGAAAAGTGACAAATTAATTTTCTAATCAAGTGTATTTATGAGGAAAATATGTTATTAAAATGCTCATTTCTTATGCTATTAGGAGACAGTATATAATTGGAAATGTTATCAAAACCTTATCAGTTATTAGATTTATTAGAACAATGTAGTTGAGTACAGAAAATTAACTGCAAATAAGTGTAATTGTCTGACAAGCAATTAGGAGCATTGATTCCAGTAATACAGAAACTGTAATTTTCTTTCAGGATTCAAGTCCTGTAATACATTTGGCTCTGCAGATCTCTGCTCCATGTGATGAGCACTTGCTTTGAGCTCTCAGGTTGGTAACATTCTATTGTGTTGCATCTACAACATAACCAAATACATTGTCATTATTTTTACCACAATTATCTTTAACTTCACTTCTTGTTGTTTGTTTTCTGTCTGCTACAAATCTTATTATCAATATTTGACACACTTCTATCTGTCCAATTAATCTGAAATTTTGCACACTTGCATAGTCAGAGACAATGCATGAATCAATTGACAGAATAAAAATTAATTTTAAAATTTTCAATCTTTTTTGATAATAAAAAAAATAAATTCATTGTACATGTGTGATTGGACACACCAGCCTTTTTAGAAGTGTGGTCTTTAAAGAGTACTTTTAAATGCATATTATTATCCATACTAATGAGTAATCTGCATTTTTCAAGCCATCAAGGGTTACTTGTGCTGCATGTTGTAAGGAATACATGATTTTTATGATCAATTAATTAGCAGTTGGTTTAAGATTTTAACTCTAATATTACATATTTGAAATGTGGAAATGAATTTTTCTAAGAACACATCAATTTTTAGAGTAGTTCTTACAAAAAGGATTGCATAATATTTGTATGCATTTCAAAAACTCTCAGCTTTAAGGTATAAAGTAACTGATTGCTTGCCCACACAGTGCAATTCTTTAGGTAACATAAAAGAAAATGGTATTATGACATTTTGAACCAATCAATGCTTCTTTACGGACTGACCACCGCACCGCACAACACACTAACGATGGCATCAACTCCCACAAACCCGCACACAGAAGACTACTCCTTAACAATAGACATCAGTAAAGCCTTTGACGCCATCCCTCACCTCCCTCTCACAAACAAGACTTACAACACCACATTACACAACAACAAATGCTGGCTTGCCAATTACCTATCAGGAAGACAAGCATATGTACACTACTCTGGCAAGTCATCACACACATCACCCATACCCAACATTGTCCCACAGAGCTCCATCCTGTCACCCTCACTCTTCAATCTATACATGCACGACATACCCAAACCGCCTCTAATCACCCACATTGACTCCTACTCAGATGCCGTTACAATAACAACCACTCATCCATCCACAGACATATGTACTCAGAAAGCACAATCATATCTTAACACATTACAATGGCTTAAACTGAACAGACTCATGGCTGCTCCCAGTAAATCAAATCAACAAGCACACTAATGACTAGCTACACAAAGGAGCACCAATACAGACCAAACATCACATTAAACAATACCCCAATCCCACATACACACTTAACAAAAATATTAGGAGTCACCTACAACAACTCCATGACCTTTGGTCCTCACATCAACAACATAGTGAATAATGCAAACATCAGACTCAACTCACTTTGGTCCCTAGGAGCACTAAATTTGGCAAAGACAAAGAAACACTAGCACCTACATACAAACAATTTGTCAGAAAAGTGCTGTCATATGCCAGCCTTGCCTGGGCACCTGCACTATTCAACACCAACATACAGAAACTCCAAACATTACAAAACAAAGCACTCAGAGTCATCACAGGCTGCATACAAAGCACCCTCATTTAACACCTTCATGCCAAAACAAAAATACTTCCCATAAAAGCACACCCTGACATGAGAGGAACACAGTTCCTAGCTGCAGCCATAAACAATACAGAATGCCTATGCCACTTCCTGCACAACCACCCACCTACACACAGACAAATTATGCAAACCCCACAGAGGTACTACATCAGCATACTAGACACAGTACCGTACCCCTACCCCAAGGCAACACCAGCACAAAAAACCACTTATACGCAATTATGACAGAGAATGCTATAGCTGGCCAGCAACAACAAAATCCTTGGACACCCACCACCTGACATAAGCAGCACAGAAACCCAGTTTTCATGACTGGAGAGAGTACACCTAGCCAGGCTATGCTGCGGCAAACACCCATCATTACAATCATTTGCAAACAGAATTGGTCAGCAGACACAGACATCTGCCCCTCCTGCCAGGGAGCTGCCCACACAATCATGCAAATCCTTCTGGAATGTCAGCTCTGGCAGGATCTCCGATAACACCACCAAATAGCTTTGGCAGCTTGGCCCTACGTTTCTAAGGCAACCCCCTGTCGTGGTGTCATGCCTGCACAAGGTTCCATTGTAAAAGGGAGAATGGAGATAGTTTTAGAGACAGTTTTAGACACATAAGAAGACGGTTTTATGTGTCTAAAACCATAAGAGATGGTTCTAGACACATAAAAACTAATTCTGAGTTTCTGACACAGCTTGTTAATTAGACACACACAGCTCATTCTGATCTGTGTGCAAAAATTAAAATTTTCTTAATTAAAAGCTTAATAGCTCTTAATTAAAAGCCTAATTAGTACCGTAAAATGGGGTAACTTTGACCACTTTTTTTTCAAAATGCCATTTTTTTACTAGATAAGTTAAACTTAAATTAACGTGTCGGATGTTGCCACACAAAATGACGGAATATAGGGATTTGGTAGGTTTCCATTCTAAAGGCTTTTTAATAAATATGGCAACATTTTGTGACGTTTCATCGTTGCTGACGCGTAGTGAAGTGTTTTGAGAGTCATGTGAAGGCAACAGAACTTACGTAATGCATACGGTTTTTTTTTTATAGTTTTTCATTTTTCGAAGCGTCCTTAAAGTGTCGGAATATACCGCGTTTACCCTACGTTGCCACTATGTGTGTCGGAATAATTCATAGTGGCAAAGCAGAGAGTTTTTTAGACTCTCCCTCAAGTTCATTTTTGAGTCCTATAAGTAGACCAGTAAAGTATCATGCATAGTGGCAAAGCAGAGAGTTTTTTAGACTCTCCCTCAAGTTCATTTTTGAGTCCTATAAGTAGACCAGTGAAGTATCCTGGATACCACTCATACCAGCATTATCGTACTTAAGAAATTGGTTCAAATCTTGAGTAAATGAGGAAATTAAAAATGAAGTGATTCTAAAAAAGCTCTGGTTTGCCACTATGCGGAATATACTGCGTTTACCCTAGCAGGCCTAGCCTACTTTTAGCACTATAAATAGACCAGTAAACTGAGTAAAGTATCATAGATACTAGCAATAATCTAGCATTATCATACATAATAAATTGGTTCAAATCTTAAATAGATGAGGAATTTAAAAATGTAGCTACCGATTCTAAAAAATCTGTGGTGGGTCACTTGTAATAGTAATAGTGTAATACCTAGGTATGCCTCGCAGCTGCTGGCCTAGAAAGGGTGGACAGCCCATAAGCCATGAATCTTTTCAGAAGAGAAATTCTGTTCAAATTCCTTTCTGGAATATATGGAAATTTTATACATTGACCAGACTGAAAGCCAATTCCTTAACAAGCACTTGTGTTTTCAATAACTAAAGATGCATGCAAAATACAAAAAATGAATTCTCACATTACATTTTAGAGGAAAAATTTCTGGCACTGTGGCACATTACAGAATTAGCATCAATTTCAATGAAAACATCAGGTTAATTGTACATTTTTAAAACAATGATGGTATTGTTTAAAAATTTTGGACAATGCAACTTGCGTTAGCAAGCTATCCTCGGGCATTTTGGACAGTCCGAACAAGTGGTAAAAACATTTCGTAAGGGAGCAATAATCAAACTAAATTAATTTCTAAACGTAAATTTTGAAACAAACCTTTCTCTTCCTCGTAATTTCTTGCTTGTTTAGACATAGCAGCAGTTTATTTTCAGAAAATGCTTGCAGAATTAGACCCAGAAGATACGCTGGTAGTACAAATTCCCGCCAAATCGAGCGGCAGCAAGAAAGTCGAATCCATTGCGTCACACTTGAGAAAAGTGTTGGATTCTTTTAAATAAACATCCCAGTAAATCAACTGTCAACAATATTTTTTCACTTTTATTGGCTATTTTACTGAAAATTCACGAATAAAATAAACAGAAATCATATGAAAAAGTTAAACGTAACGTCTAAGATTAAACGTAAGGGATACGATACAATTGTATCATTGCAAAAAGGAAATTCTCTAATTTTTAGATGAATGAAACAATATAGGCAAATTTAAATGTTCCCAATCATATATTAAAGCTTTGTTAATTAATTTGTGTACATTTCTGATCGAAAAGAATAGGTAATTCAACTCGCGCATGCGCAGTCGTTGTTTGTGAATCTTACCCTCGTCGAACAGCTGACCAAAACAACTCTGAACGATGGTATGTGCTTCAATTAAATTTTAGTATGAAAATTTTCAACTGATATCAATTTTTTATCTTTAATCGCTTTAATAGAAATACATTGCTTTGCCTCATGCCTATTTAGGCTTTTCTGACATTTATTTGTTAATTGTAAACATAGGAGTTTACTGCAATTGGAAAAATGGACTAAAAACTGGCTCAAGTCTACTCTAAGCCTCTCAGGCTCTCATTGCAATTCTCAGTTCTGTCTTTTGTACACTTCACTTCAGCATTAATTAAACATGCATTTAGAGCATATAGCTAGAATCAAAGTAGAGACTTTTTTAGACTCTTGCTCAAGTTCATACATGAGTCGTATAACTTATATGTAAATAGACCAGTAGTCACTAGTCAGTACTCAGTAGTGTATAGAATAGAAGTGTCGGTGTTGAAGAAATAGGCCCATGGCCTGTTGCTGATTCTTGAACTTTTCGTGACTTGATTCACAAGGGATCCGGCCTTTGGAACCCGATCTTTCCATAGCTGACAATTGATTGAGATAGCTGCTGGACTTATTGCCTGGTTCATAATTTGCTAGGCATTTTAAGACTGAACATATGCTCCTGCATAGCTTCGTCTAGAAGCGAGAAGAAATGTTGTCGCATGGATGTGTTCCAACGCTGTCTTTTTAGTTTATAGCCGTGGCCCCTGGTGTTGGTTCTTGTTTTAAATTCTAGTAATCCTTCTGGGACCTTGTATAAGCCATGAGTATACTTGCATACTTCAATGAGGTCCCCACGCAGACATTGATAAAGGAGGCTTGGAAGCTTCATAATCTTTAATCTTTCCTCATAGGAATTGCCTTTCAAGCCTGTCACACTTCTATCCTTTATTTTATCATCATTAGTTTAGGGAATGCTGTAGTCTGTAGTGAGATTCTTTTGTGACAGTTTACCTACATGTAAGACCAATCTCTATCTTGTATATAGTTTACATTTCCAAACGTTCAATGACATGAGTTTCTTATCAGCAGATATATATACATAGATAGATTGCCATTGATTTTTGAGGTATAATCCGTGAACAAACTAGTAACATCCAGTGAAGCTAGCAGGCCAGAAGGGTGCGAGGCATGAAGAATTTCCAAGAAGTCATTTCTAGATTTCAGAGAGTATTTCTTAGGGATATATGGTTTAATTATAGCGTCGAGTTCTTTAGAGGTCTTGTATAAGGGAGAAGTTACTTGCGAAATTATAGGCCTTAGTGGGTCGTCTAGATAGATAGATATACACATTTGATATACACATTTATACCTTATATAGATATATATACACATTTGTAGTAGTGAAGTTGTATGCTTACCTTGCTGCTCCTGCTTGTGACTGAAAATCACAATACAAATCAGAACTTCAATTTGTAGGGTTTGAAAACCAGATGATAACTACAAAGCTGTTTTTAATGCACTATATATATGTGTGTGTGTGGTTCAGTCAGGTTAATAAAATAAACTGTTTCTATGGAGGCCAGTTAATTGAGTGCTGTGGTGACATTGGCATTAATGGTAGAAAGTATTACAAGTTTTTAATCCTAAATGTTCATTTTACTTATTTTTAGTATAGTACCTAGTTAATTTTTAAGCTAATTTATCATATACTTGAATCAATATGTAACTGACAACTTTTTATTTGAGCAGCACAAGCTAAAGTCATCACAAAAAGATAAAGTGAAACAATTTGTTTCATTCACACAAGCTGAGGAGAAAACAGCCCTCTATTGTCTGCTCCAAAATGACTGGAAGTTGGAACTTGCCATTGATAATTATTTTCAAAATCCAGACCACTACTACAGAGAACAAAGGGTCACTGTTGATAAGAAAAAGTTGGAACAGTTTTATAGCAGATATAAAGGTGAGTCTACTTTCACTCAATTTTCTTCCATTTTGTTCTAGATGCCATTAGGCGTGTACAGAAAACATCCTGGGAAATTGGCCTAGGGCAATGGCCACAACTAGAGCTTTCCTGATATTTTTGGAGCTACAAGATTCTTGCTTGATGAAATATCTCCTATCAAATAGTGAACAAATGTACACAATTGAACCACAAGATTTCTAAGTTATCAGAAATATTTCACAAGCTATTATTTTAAATTTTCCTGTGAAAATGTCATTTTTTTATCAATTTTATAAAGAAAATTAGGCAGGCACAAGTACAATTCAAGGACTAAGCTGTTTTGGCTCATTTATGGGTTTCTTCTGCCTTACTGGAATAGTATTCCTGTTTTTAACGAAATTCCAAATGGGAAAATTACCCTACCCATGAAGGTGCTCATGCAATAAATAAGACAACACTACCACCTTATCTGCAATGTGTCACTCAGACTCACTCCTTTTAATACTCTAAACCAAAAACTAGATGGTTTGCTGCAGCACTTGTTGGATGCATATAATCATTGCAATGCATCATGCCTCTCAGTATATTCTGCATGCAAGTTTTAAATTTCAACAAAGATGCAATTTTGTCCCAGGTCTTTACTTGGAATAATTTAAGAGAAAAGTTTCAGCAAATTGACATAAAAAATTCTTTTACTTTTGCAAGATCATGCCTGACAATTTTTCTGATTTTATTTTCAAAATTTGAGTGAAAAAATGCTACATTTTCTTGGGGCTGCACATTGAGAACTAGGCTAAATACCTGTTCTAGGCTAATGCACAAATCACTTGGACCACAATACTTGTTCATCTCATGTGAATAGTATTGTTTCAAAATTTATGTACTATTGTTTTGATTTATTATTCATACATTTGTCATTAATGCAATATATTACAGTGCAGTATCCATAAGCAATCTACAAATATTAATTTTTCAATGTAAATATTTGTTTTTCCATATTCTTAATTTCAGTACCTAGGTAGGTATTTGTTTGCATGTTGCTTCCTTTGATTTGACTTAATTGCATCATATGCTGTGATATATTTAGACTACAAGTGCTGGGCAACATGTCAAACCAGCCAATTTTCAATGTTGATATCTTAAAATGTTATATCAGTCCAGTATGCATCCTATTTTATTGTTATAAATGCACAAGATGTCTAGGACCTGGGATTCTGCATCCAATGCATAAATTTTTACTGTTAATTTTACAGATAGCAGTGACAGTAACAAGATCTTGGTGAGCGGTGTTACTAGGCTCCTCGATGATCTCGAGTTACCTCCTGACTCCAGACTTGTACTCATCTTAGCATGGAAGCTCAAAGCCGCAACACAGTGTGAATTTACTCGAGATGAATTTATAAATGGTCTCACCGAAATGGGGTCAGCTCTCCTAGATAAAACACTGACAAAATAATGATCCTAAACTCAATATTTGAACTTTTCAAAATTCTACTAGTACCACTCTATTATGGATAAGTTTGTTCAAGATAGAGATTTTTTATGGTATTTTGTCACTTTTGAGTGAACTGGGCTAATATAACCGTCATGTTGCAGATGTGACTCCTTGGAAAAGTTGAAACTGAAACTGCCAGCCCAAGAGAATGAACTACGAGACAACCTTCGTTTCAAAGACTTTTATCAGTTTACATTTGCCTATGCCAGAAATCCTGGTCAAAAGGGCCTAGACTTGGACATGGCTATTGCATACTGGAATATTTGTTTGAAGGGCAGATTCAGACTATTACCAATGTGGTGCCAGTTTCTAACGGTAAGGATGGTGGCATTGTCAAAGATGTGATTGTATTGTAGCAATCATACATGCTTCAGTTTCCAGTTCAATTACATGAATTCAAGCTCATTTTGTCAATGTATTATTTAATTTTGAGGGCAATTATTAGTTGACGATAGATACCTTCATTCAATTTTCTATCTTTTATCTGTAATCATTGCTATAGAAAAAAATGTTGAGCGTTTCTTTCTTTTGACAGGAACACCACAAGCGGTCTATACCTAAAGACACTTGGAACTTGTTGCTGGATTTTGCTCTGATGATAAATGATGACTTGTCTAACTACGACGAGGAGGGCGCTTGGCCTGTGCTGATTGACGATTTCGTGGAGTATGCCCGGCCACTCGTTCAGAAAGGAGGCCATTGCTCCTCTCAAGGTGGCATGGACACCTCTTCAGGAGCATGAGACATCGTGTATTTTTAGTAGATAGGTATATTTGACTATTGTAGTGCTCAATAAGGTCTTGTTACTAGAAGCCCCAACTCGTCTGTTGACGCGAATATTTCGTTCGTACAATCACGATAGTTTCGATTATTAACGATGTAGTTCAATGTGAATTTCATTAAAGTGACAATGGTGCAACTAATTGCGTCGATTATCTTGAGAAGTTCTAAAACGAGACCTTTTCCGTCGGCTTCGTAAGGATCACTTCTATGATGTCCTTGAGCATTGACATGCCTCCTGAGATCAGTGCTTAGCATCTCGATATCCAATCTTCTAACCGAGTTTTAAATTTGTTCAGATGCTTTTCCCGCTGCTAAGTGATACAACAGACGCTGTTACAGAGCTTATCTAAATATTTTTATTTGTTATGAGGAATAAATTGGGTCGTCGGTAATATTTACGAGCACAATTAAGTTTTTCCCGTCCTCAAGTATTAATTTCTCGAAGTTCTCTGTGTAGGTTTGCATACATTTCGAGAAATGAGTGTTTGCCCCCTAGTGTGCTAACAGTCGTTTACGGAACAGATCCTCAATTAGCAACGCGTTTTTGACCTCGCTTCCCATGTTGATTTAATATTAGTAAATCCTTTCACATTTGAGGAAGACAGAACGCAGTCCACCTCCATGCCAAGAAAGTTGAACAAACTTCTGGTTCCTGGGAGTTAACATGACGATTCTTGTTCTTAAGGTCTGTGTAAATAATGTTTTTTATTTAGATCTCTTTTCCAAGTGCAAGCAAAATGTGGTAAAGTAGCATTTCATTTCTTGGACATTTTCCTAGAATGATCTTTTTGCTCCAAATTCAAATTATAAGAAATAGTCTACGACGAAGTTTCATTGGAAGTAGATTGTTTAACATACTACATCCTCTCCATTTGTAAACTTGCTTCAACCTACGTAAAAATTAACTTTCGTCAGTGTTACTTGCATCTGTAAGCGTAGTGACGAGTTACTGTCACTGTGAAAAGAGTTACTTAACTGAGGAAAGAATACATCAAAAACCCTAAAGAAATCTTATTTAATTTTACAGAATTTACAGTTAACCATTTCATCAAAGCCATTCATTTTACAATCTCTCGTCCAGTGTATGCACTCTCGAATCAACTCGGACATAGGTTTGATGATTCTTATCTCTACACTGAGTACCGACGTCGCGTCTGAAAGAACAAGTTCAGGACATTGCATCGTGGGACCTCAATATCCTGGAACTACCCTCGACTGGATGCATTCATGTTTTTAATTCCTCGGACTGAATTAAAACTTCAGCGTGAAGCCAGCACCGGCCTGTTGTCCTCCTCCTAAAAAGAAGCCTGGAACACCGTGGTCGTCGTCACCCTGCAAGAAGTTTCCTATTAGACAAATAAATATGCTTCGTTCTCAAAAAAGTAACGCGATAATATGATATTTTAGTAATGCAAGGCAAGAGCGTTTTCGTCCTAAAAAGGACGAAAAATGAAAATTACTGACTAGAAAAATCTGGTGAACTTACAAGGTCTTTAAAGTTTTTGCCGCCTGACGGAGGGTTGGGAGGTCTGTTGGGGTCCTCTACAGCAGCGATACCGTTGGGATTCTCAGACTTGGCAGGCCAGGTAGGGAACATGGCAGGAGGAATGGGCGCAGGAGGCTCTGCATGGAAGTAGTCGTGTTGCAGGGCCTCGTGACTCGTGATCCGCTTCTGAGGGTCGTATGTGAGGAATCTGACAGAAGAGACGCACGTATTAATCCAGCAACTGGATCACTGATTTCAAAGCCATAAAACTCGGCCAGTGCAGCGATTGAATTTAGAACAAATTTCTTCGATGTGAAGATACTAACGAATTTCTTCTAATATTCCTGAAAAGCAAGTTAGTTCATAGTGAAAGGACGCATTTATAACAATACTGAGATGTGACAATGAGTGGGCCCTAACTTGTTCATGAGAAGGAAGCCTTTGTCACTGAGCCTCTCCTTGAAACGCTCGCGCAGATGGTTGTATGGGAACTCCGTGAACTGCGTGCGCTTCACTACAGGCAACTGGCTGTAGCCGGGCCAGATGGCGTCGCTAGGAGTGCCCAGCTCCTGCGTAATACACAACTGCGTTAGTATATAGCGTATACTCGTTTTCAATATCTGAATAACCTAACTCATTCCTAAAAAATAAATTAGCTGATGTCCAACATGCCGTAAATGCGTTCAACAATAAAAATGGTCGTGCAGATACGCGGCTCTAAGATCTAACTTGGCAAATCTTAAGCTGAAGAAGTGAGACAACTAAGTGAAAAAGAGATAAATTACATCAAGAGACAAAATTTCGATAACGAATTATAATTTGACAAGATGTGTAAATTTTTTGTACAAGTTTCCTGAGGAAGGCCCGAGGTTTGCTGACAATTTAAGCTAGTAATTAAGCGAAGAAACAAATTCGAGAGAATCGATTAAAAACCTAAAAGCATTTATTTCACCAATTTATGCAGGGAGTACAATAAAATGAGTACTGCATAGTGAGCTTTGCAGTAAACGATAGTTTAAACGATTATGGAATGATTTTGTAGAAAACCAAGTAAAGACATGAGTAACACTCATTGTGTTCCAGAACTTGATAAGAATCTAGCATATTTCATGAGCAAAAACGTCGAAAGTAATCTTGACAGCTAATAGATGACAGAGAGCTTGAGGTTTACCTTAAATATCCTGTTCAGTTGATCAATTTCGCTCTTGCCAGGGAAGAAAGGTTCCATGGCGAGCAGTTCTCCGAAGATGCAACCCACTGACCACACATCGATGGCTGTTGAGTAGAGTTTGGTTCCTAAGAGGAGTTCAGGAGCGCGGTACCACAACGTGACCACAATGGGCGTGTACTGCTTCAAGGGAGATCCGTACTCCCGCGCCAACCCGAAGTCACCGACCTGTTATGAGTGATGCAGGCTCAAGACATAAGTAATTAAGGACAAGGTGCATTCACAATGTATAAGACGGGGTCAATTCGGTCACATGCAGTTACAACTGACCTAAGTAAAGAAATGCATAAAATTAGGAATGTCGATGAAGTAGGCCAACAGCAAAACAGCCGAAGTTGCACCCACCTTGAGAATGCCAGTATGTGACAGAAGCAAATTGGAAGTTTTGAGATCCCTGTGCAGAATCCAGTTGTCGTGTAGATGATGAACAGCTCTCAACAGCTGCAACATGAGAGTCTTTACTTCTCCCAGACTAAAGGACTGTTTCTTCTTGCTCATGGTTTCCATGAGAGACTTGAGGTCATGTTCTACATAGTCCATCACGATGTAGATCTTGTCCATGTTGCTGCCCACGACAATCTCGCGCACCGTCACGATGTTGCAGTGTTGGCCCTGAGCAACCATTTTATACCTTGATATTATAGTTGGCAATAGCCAAAATGACAACAAGAAAAGGTTGTGAAATGAAGTTGCCAATTGGGGTAATTTCGAGAGAAATCTCCGTCCATAAATTAAGGGAACTTCTAAAATTATTAAAAATTTAATAGAAATTTCCATTTTTCCCCAAAGAATTTAATCAAAAATATTACTGTATTTTAGTTGAATCTATTAGCTTCATCATTTAAAACAATGTTTAAATCTTGTTCGAAAATTTTGCATCAATCATATCAGTTGTGTTGAATATCCACACCTAACATCATGCAGTATTTGTCCAATTTCAAAATGCTTTTCGAAAGTACATTTTCGGTAACGGTGAATGAAATCTTGATAAGATTAACACTAATGTTAGCAACAGCAACATTCGCAGAAGAATTAGATAATTTGGATATCTTCTTCTCATGCACAAAATATTAACTTAAATCTCTGCCCTGCTAACGCTCAGACATTCACCATCAAAGGGAGACTATAAAAATAATGACAAGAGTGATTCGTTGTTGCCAACGTTCAAGTTTCACAGCCGTCTAGGACAATTTATACATTAGTAAATTTTTTACAAAACCATTTTACTACCAGAAAACTGAATCTCTTTAGCAAGCGTATTTTGCAAGTATTGTATTACAAACACCTTCAGTAGCGTGTTGATCTCGCGGAGGGAAGTGATAGGGAAGCCTTCTTTCTCCTTCTCCATCTTGAGGCGCTTGAGAGCCACGATTGTGCCGTTGCACTTCTCCCTCGCACGATATACAACACCGTAAGTGCCCTCGGCAATCCTGAACACATGCAACGATGCTTTTATTCATAATACAGACAAACGCCAACACGAAAGTAGCAAAATACAATGATTAACAATTACTTCGCGCATCAAGTTCAAGGATTTATTTTTGATGATAAGATTTATTATTAAATGATGAAAATATTGAATTTACAGTCACCACAGATTTACCAGAATCAGTATCAATTAAGACAGTCCGTTTCAATTAATAGAGCCAAGCTGCAGGGAATTCGTCTGAAAATACTACTGAAGATGAATGTGCTTCCATTGACCTACTATTTATGAATGACAGATTTTAATGAAACTACGCGATCAAGCAGCGAGAATACAAGTTACTTTGCTTCGTTAGCGGTGTTTAGCGCACAAAATTCGCCCCAGAAGAATCATGTAACATATCATGACAATGTACTGCAACTGAGCTGCAATTACAATACCTATTACAATTAGCATTAACAAATTATATAAATCCCTTGACCGAGAGAATTCATTTCTCTTCATAATCGTCATTTATTTAAAAGAAGTTACCTGTTGAGGCACTCAAACTCATCGACAGAACGGCACCCCATAATGGCGGGGTAGTAAGACGGCAGCACCTCCTTCATCGGCACGGGGCTCCGGGTGGGAGACCTGACGACTTCTCCCGAAGCAGAGCTCACGTCCGACAAGCCACCTCTTCTGCTCACACCGTTACAAAGTCCAAAATAATTAATTATAACGGTCTGGCTAGATCCATTTGAGCTACCACCTCTTTTGCTCACAAGTTACCAAGCCCAGCAAAATGAACATGAAAGGTAAAACTACCTTCATTTACAGATGAGAAATATCAGCAAGTAGCTCAAGCAATATCAAATTAATAAGCGATTATTATATTCATAAAATACTGTCACGTTAAAACTTCACATTAGTATGAATATTATGAACAAAGAGCATGTAAACTGAAGACTAAATTTCAAACAACACTAAATCGTGAAACATACACAAAATTTTAGACTTAAGGCAACTCCAGGATCATGCTGCTAAAAAAGGAGCGTAGTGTGCAACAATACAATGACATTATTATAGATGACATTATATAGATGAAAATTAGACATTATTAATGTTGTTCTCTTGATTGAGTATCCATGTGAAATAACGATAATGAATTTTTGATATTGAAAATTTTGTGAACATTACTTTTGCAACCTAAAGTAATTTTTTCTACAACCACTGAAAAAATTATTCAAATATTTAAATTCAGTTTCCGTTAAACTTATATTTAAATTCAGTTTTTGAGCACAATACAAATGACTACTGCCAGCAGGAGGAGAACCGACCTCGGTGAATCATCAAAACGCCCTTCCTTGCTGGGCGTGGAGGAGCCTGAGCGATGCCCCTTGGCAGCGCCGTTCACAGCCTCCGCCTCACCGTCCTCAGCCTTGCTCTTCTTAGCACCGCTTTCCTCGTCCGAGTCAGAACTGTCGCTGTCAGAATCTGGAATTTTGCAGAATCAAGATAAAAATAACAAATTTCAATGCCTTCACTTTTTAATGGATACATTGTCACGGACACAGTCACAATAAACGAACATAAACGGATAATGCAATAAAAATCATGAACAGAAATAATTGTGCAACATCATACATTTCTTGAGAAAAAGCCAAGAGAGATGCCTAAAAAAGAGAAAAGTGCAGATTATCTAGAAATCCTCAAACAACGATTGCAATTTAAATTCTCACATTAAAGTTGGCCAGAAACAAACACACAAACATTGTTTAACGATCATAAATTCATCCAGCGTCAATACACGAGAACATAGGGAGCTTATTTAAATATAACGCTTAATAAAGGCCAAAATTCGCATTGATTTAAAATAAATTCTATAAATGGCGGTGTAGTTATAAAAGCCTCAATCTTTATTTAAGTCTAATAGGCCAAAACTCAAACGGATTTTAGAAGCAGGTTTTTCGGTGACGGACCAATTACAGATAAGATGTTTTTGCAGTCGCTTGTAAGAACTAATTGCTAATTGCAAAATGCTTTTGATCATCAGTTTTAAACAATAATATTAAATTAGACTCTTCCAGAAGTGGGGGCATACAAACAATACATCAGTAAGGTGCTGCCGTATGAATTGATAAACACTTGTATTCAAACACCTGAGTCAGAGGAGCTATCGGACGAGTCTGAGTCTGATCCATCAGACGCTTTAGCTTCCTTGGCCGCCTCTTCGTCAATGCCTGGCTGCGGTGAGTGAACGGGAGCGTCCTGCTGCTCCTCGTTCTTGTTCTCCTCTTCCTCGTTCTCACTTATTATGTGCACTTCCTCTGCATGTACAAATTCAGAAACAAGAACGTCAAAATTCAACTTCAATTTATAATTGATCATATAGGAAATAACCCTATTGATCAGGAATTAACATTCTGCGTGTCTATCAATGTCTGTAATGCGTGTCTGTAAAGTAAAATTCCCACTCAGTTGACAATTTTTGGTCTGCAAGGTAATAAATTAACCCCATGTCCTTGGTTAATTCCGACCCTTTAAAATACCCATATATTTCAACAGTCCATTTTCTATTCCATGTTAGATCACGAACCTGCACTCTAGCTATAAAATAATGACAAGACTGTGCAGTTCACAAGTTCTTGTAACAATTACACAAGTTTCTCCTTCCTCAAGATTATAGCAACAATCTCATGCACACGCCATCACCTTCTGGAACATCCTTGCGTAGTTTCTTGCGCTTATGTGGACGCGAGGGACTGGATGACGGTTGTTCAGGGGAGTTGTCTTGGGGGGAGTCTTGCACTGAACTGTGCAGGAAATCATCAGCGTCAAGCCTCTTCCCCTCTTCCTTTCGCTGCCTCCGCGACTCTGCTTCCCTCTGTGACTGCTCCTTCTGCTTCTCTGCACCCAGATATTTTATGATAATACATAAACAACTAATTATTGACAAGTCTTGCTAATTACCAATAATAAATGCTCATGATAGTGATCCATGAGTATTACATTGAGTTATACTCATGAGTGAACTAACTACCATAAAATTTGCTTTAATATTCAATGAAAAGCAATTAGTTCAGCACAAATCCCTGCCACTGACAACCTGCAGCCATCATGCGCTCCATGCGCTTCTCGCGCTCATTCATCTCTCGTGACGGTAGTGCACTGGGCTGCAGACCTCCTCCACGAGACCTGCTGCCCAGCATTAGTGACAATTACCAAATAATAAATAAACAATATAAATAAAAAATATTATAATAAATAATATTCTATGTTCAGGTTCACAATTTTCAATAAACAATTTTTACTATAATAAACAATATAATAGAAGCAGACTGAAAAATATGAGCATTATTTATATCCAAGTACTATAACAAAGTTATTGTCAGAAAAAAGTTGACACAGTCATTATTCATCAATAAATTTTTAATTGACAAAAACCAACTACTAACATTGCAATAATACTGTTCAGTAAAATGTATATGGATTTAACAAAACCCACCTGTGATGTTGTGTGCTGCTATGGTAGTGATCATTTTGATGCATGAAATACTGTTGCTGCTGATGGTGATGGTGGTGATGAAGATGCATCGGAACAGGGTCAGGTAACAGAGGAGAGATGTTGGATCGTCCACCATCATGCATGTTGTAATAAGTGTCAGCATCGGCAAGCTGTGCTTGCTGCCTGCTGCCACTTCGATCCTGGCCCCCTCTTCTGTGACCCTGAACATGCAATGAAAAATTAGTTGAAGAAAATTTGGGTGATATTAGTTCAAATTAGTAAACTCATTGATATGGGAAAGTACCTAGTTTGGTCTTATTCACAGTATATCACGAAAATCATTTTTAAAATAATGTCAATGACCATCAATAAAAATAACATTAATTTTTATCCAAAATAGATCAAAACACAAGCAGAGAATACGGACAAGAGATGAAATGCTGAACATTCTACACGTTCTGTTGGATATTCTGCAAGAGTCTGGATACCTAATTTATTTCACCTCATTTAATCATAATAACTCACAGAAATATCTCGTTTGGTAGGTCTGGAATGTCTTTCAGAAGGCTTACTCCGGCCATCAAACTCGGCTGCTGCATCAAGGTGGGTACTGCGTCCACTGACTCGCTCCTTGCGCCGCCGACTGCTTGACTCACTGCGCTCTTCTCCCTCTCTGTAAGAATTAAATGCTGGCTTCAAAAAGTTATCCAACTAAAATGAAATTATCAACATTGTTGGAAGCTTGAACAAAAATGAATCTACATATGAATACTGATGAGTCATGTGGACTCTTAACATACCATAACATGGGGTTACTTTGACCGGCGGGGTAACTTTGACCACTTTTAGTTTTTTAACAAAAACCCCCAAAACTCAAAAACGATTCGACATAGAAAAATTTTGTCAATGGCCATCAAAGGCCTAATACTGAGGCTACATAACACAATAGAAAGATTTAAAAAGTTTGCATATCTAATAGGTTAAAAAATTAAAAATGTGACCCACGAAAAAGAGCTATTATTTAAAGCCTGTCGGAGTACCCCCTCCAATTGTTTTATTTTTTGGTAAAATAACTCCAGGTTTGATGCATTGTAGTAGAACTCTTCTAGTTACATATGCAAAAGACAAATTTTAGAAAAGTGTCATAGTTTGCAAATGGGGGGCGCCGCCCCCCAATGGGGTAACTTTGACCACCTAATGGCAGCCGTGACGGGGTAACATTGACTGGCTTGGAAATTAAGTTAAAATTACCATAGGTACCTATATAACATTTTATGTTTGATATACCTATTAATGTTTTTTTTTCTTTATGTTTCAGACTCTACAGAGTCTTATATATGGTAATTTTAACTTAATTTCCAAACCGGTCTATGTTACCCTGTCACGGCTGCCATTAGGTGGTCACATTTTGCCCATTTGGGGGTGGTGCCCCCATTTGCAAACTATGACACTTTCCTAAAATCTGTCTTTTGTATATGTAACTAGAAGAGTTCTATTACAATGCACCAGAACCTGGAGTTATTTGGAGTTACTAAAAAATAAAATTGATTTTACCATCCGGTCAAAGAAACCCCAAGAGCTGGGGTAACAAAGACCATCACTTTTTTTCAAATTACATCAAAACTATGAGAGGCAGGAGTCAGCAATTTATGGTGAGTAAAGCTAGAGTATAGACCTGTATTTTGCAGGTTTCAATTTAAGTTTAACTTATCTAGTAAAAAAATGGCATCATTTTGAAAAAAAAGTGGTCAAAGTTACCCCATTTTACGATAATTTTGAAAATCAATGAAAAAAAATCATAGAAAAACATAGAACAGCATTTCCAGAGATATATCAATAACAGCGCAATAACAGATAACAATGGAATAGCAATGTTCTTTCACTCACCAATTTTAACAATTCTAGCTCAAATAAGAACTCCCATTAGCAAATGAAACTAATACCGGTATTCTTTAAATATAATAATTAAAGAATAATAATAATAATTTCAAATATATGAAGAAAATTCACCTGTGACGTCTCCTTTCTTTTGAGTGGTGTTCTGAGCCTCGATGATCTGATCGAGATCGATGACTTTCTCGCTTATGACGATGACCTGATTCACCTTTGTGCCGGTGATGGCGTTCACGTTTGCTTCTCTTCTCTTTCTTCTCCTGACTGCCACCAGTTTGTGCCTGAGGTGGCTTTATGTCAAGACTGTCACCATTTTCCCCATCATATGATGACATGCTGTAAATAGAAAGCAGGAAAATTTATGTTTCAAATTTTTTTTCAGCCCTATGCTGACCCAGCCAGCTCGGGATTAGGTGTGAAATATTTAGCATGGTTACCTGGTGGGACACATTTATTCAGCATGATTTCAGGATCCATTTACTTTCTATCTAAAAAATTTCTTCAAATGTCTTTCATACATTGCCATTTGGGGCCTTTATGCCTTTTTAGGTCTCTTTGTTTCTCTTGTCATTAGATCATAACAAATAACAGGATGTAATTGAAAAGTGGACATAATTACAAAGAGAAGAAAATGTAAAACAGACATTAATGGATAATTGCTCACAGATTGCAAGCAAACAGAGAACGTATTTACATTGTTGTCATGAGGTCAAATCAGACAGACAACAAGAGGTACCAACTATACTACTATGTAGAATTTACAATCAATATATGAATATAATACTAAATAGACATTAATACCAACTACAGGTGCTTTAAGATTAATACAGAGGCAAAAAGCAATCAATACAAATGGCAGATACAGTGACAGTTAATTGATCAATTCATTGTTATACAACACATTGACATTAATTTTAGTTGAAATAGTTTGATGCACCAGATTAATGAATGATAGATTAATTTGTACACATCTCCTGGATCTTTCCATGTTGAAACACAAGGAAGATTTGTAGTATAACAGGTATAGCAGTTGCCTTGCTACATTGACATGGCGAAGCAATTTAAAAATTAATTATGAACATTATTTTAATTAGGTTTCCCCATTTCTATCAACCATTTGGTATGAATTAAATAATTGCTTTGAATTTAATGATTACTGAGCAATTTTCCAACTTGAACAACTTCAATCTGTTGGGAAGGCATATGATAGGTATATTTTGTTTGCAATTTCAAATTTTACTTGAAATAAATTTACTAATATATATATACCGTCAACCGGGGCTACTCGGGACAGATTTGAACGATTAGTTTTAAATAACAGTTAATAACTTCTTACGATGAAACATTTCATAAACAAGTTTAGTCTCATTTTATAGCTGATTGGCAGGGCTATCGAATGGCGTTGTCAAAAAAATTCCATATGCTATTCGTAAGGTGCCAGACGCAAAATAGAGATTGTCCCGAGTAGCCCCGTCGGTTGGGGCTACTCGGGACAACGGGAATAAAACTTCATTTCAAAATATTTGAAGCATGCAGAGCGTACTCATCCATTACTAACAGTACTCTGAAGTCCTCCTCTTTCATTGTAGATGATGTAGAGGTAGAATAAATGACATTTTCTGTGATTTTTACTTGTTTTTCCTTTATTGATATGATATTGCCATATACATTAATTACCGTATTATTGATGTGACATTATCTTATTATTGATGTGATATTACCGTATCCATGAACATGCCATTGAGCATTTACAACAACCTTGTCCATTGCAAGCTTCATATCAGCAGCCTTATAACATTTTTTTCCTATCTGTAAGCTTACAGGAAGGCTCTAATTTCACATCATTTTAATTGGGACTTCGCGTGATCATTAACTTCGCGTGATCATTAACTTCACGTGATCATTAACTTCGCGTGATCATTAACGTCGAGTGATCATTAACTTCCTGTGATCATTAACTTCCCGTGATCATTAACTTCGCGTGATCATTAACTTCCCGTGATCATTAACTTCCCATGATCATTAACTTCACGTGATCATTAACTTAGCTTGATCATTAACTTCACGTGATCATTAACTTCACATGATCATTAACTTCCCGTTGTTGCAGGGAGCACAATTAAGCTAGGTTTTAGCACATCTCTTACTGCCTTCTCCCATTTAGCTGATTTTAACCTATAGCTGATGTAATCATTATTAATATTGCCATGTTTTCTCTTATCTCGTTCCAGCTTCAATTTATTTTCCATTACCAGTGTCATTGCCTTGATGTGAAGCTGTGGTAATTTGTCTGATCAATTGGGAAGTCAGAAAGCTATTATTGCTTGTTAGAAGGACTATTGCCTAGGTGAGTTTACTGCTGTTGTTGCCCTTCAGGCTAATGGTAAGATGATGCTAAGTGTCTGAGCGTCACTGTCTTGCTTAAGTCTTTCTTACTTAAGCTTCATTCTCACAATTTCCAATAGAGGCTTTTGGTTCTTAATTTAACTGTTGTCATTGCAAGGTTTTTCTGAATGTGCATTTTATTATGTGATTGTATTATGTGTTTATTTAGTCTGTACCAGCTATTCTGTCTCATGTTTGTGATGCTTTTCTAAAGTGCCGATATGATTCATTAACATTTTTAGTCAAGTTATATTATTTGTTCAGTAATCATCTACAGTCATTAAGTTCAGAGTTTTAACCTTGAAATCTTGATTTGTTTATTGCACCTTCATTAACTATGATTCCATTTTCTGTTCCATTAATTAACTCTTCAAGCATGTTTATTGTCTTAATTGGCATGATGGCCATGAGTGGTTGAATTACCTTAAAATATTTCTCATGTTCCAAAGCATTGTCATGAGTGTTGCCAATTTAATTTCCGTCAATTAATTTTAGTTATGCTTTTCAGTTAACTGGCACACGAACCACCTCCGCCTGCCCATGCTCTAAACTCTAAAGTCTTAATTTCTAGTACACTTTTAGAATCCACTACATATTCGCAATCCACACATTACTTTGTTAGTCATCAATATCCATAGAGTTTGTTTTGCACTTGAGTTTCGCGTTTTGATTAATTTTGTGCAAGATCCCTTAATTAATTTTATAGAGAAAGTGTTTCATTATCCTTTCACTTAGATAGTTACCTCTAAATTCATAAGCAGACAACGAGTTTGTCTCACCCGCTAGAGACACACGGTAACATTTTTGGCATCTCCGACGGGATCTTGTCACAGCACATTCATTTCTACAACACTACTCAGCACAACACTTTAGTTACTATGGAAGGAATACTCTCTAGACGCAGCCGTATACCAGAGCATGGGCAGGGTAATGATGTTGAGCCGTCCCCTGCTCCTGGCGCCAGCGAGGTGATGTCCAGTCCTGGTACCTCTGGAGGATGTGCCTCCCCATTGCCTGGCTCCACGGAGACGTCAGCCTCCCAGCACCCAGTTGAGCTGGCCTCTGCTGAACTTCCCCAGCCAACCGAGGGTACTTTGACTGAGGTGGTAACACTTCAGTCCCTACTTGCTCAATTTGCCCACCCACAAGTGCGGGCTGACCTGGTTGCTGGACTATTTGGCTTCAACATCAACTCAAGTATTTTGCCCGTGTTGGATGAGCTCCGGTGGACTCTATTCCCACGTTGGCGGGGAGGTGGTTTTGAGATGTCACAAGCAACAAGCAGAGCTGCAAGTCAACATCTCCGGTTGTTGATAGCCAAGTCTGAAAAACTGTTAATTACCAATTATAACTCAATTGATCAATGCCTAACCTACAGCGAATGGTACCATACTTTGGAAACCCTGGCATCAGACCGATACTGGGATAGGGTTCCAAGTAATGACCGTTGCACACACATCCTGCCAGAAATTGGGGAACTGCACTTGGGGGCTGCCTCAGATGCTCATACGAGGAGGGCTGACCCCACGCATCCTGCCAATGGCAAGCATGACACTAAATCGTCATCAACAAATCGTTCGAATCAGAAGATGAGACATAAACGGGATAAAGCTGTCAAGATAGAAGAAATTGTTTTCTCATCTAGTGATGCAACTTCTAATTCCAGCTGTACGCAGGCGATGGGTGATTCATCATCAGACCATTCCAGCGATTCAGAGGGTCCATCCCAGCCATACAGCTTGCACCGCCAGTGGAAGAGCTGAGGGGAAACCTCATGGTACGCCTAGGAAGCCACGCATTTTTGCAGGTCAACGTGACCGCCCAAGCGGATCTGATTTGCCAGGACAATCTGGAAAAGGTCAGGCAACAGCTAAGTCAACTCCGTCACCACCTGGCAAATCTGCTAAAGGAGCAAGTGTGAAGGATCTGCGTTGTGACTACTGTAAAAGACCCAATCACCTTAGGCGTGACTGCTGGAGAGCATCGAAATTGTGCCTCATTTGTGGAGGAGGTCATCATATAGAAAATTGTCCCAGGTATGATGCCAAATATTCAGGAAAATCTAAGTCTGCAGGTGCGCATAAGTCAGAAAACTGAATGGTCTTGGTGCGAGTGGGGAACCATTGAGACCTAAAAGATCTTCCCTAATATCAAGCAGATTACCCTGCTTATCAGCCACGTGTAGCCGTCCTCAAACACCACTTCCCGCGCCGGTGGAAAGTTCGTCATTACTGGACAACCGGCCTATAGAGGAGAATATTGCTCCAGGTAGCAATGAGCCACCTATGCCTGGCTCATCTGGGACCTTAGATGGCGCCGCTCAAATCGTGGTTTCGGCCGAATCCATTGCTCTCCCACTGATGCCTGGAAAACTTGTGAATTTAGTTGGTGGAAGTGACCTTCTTTTGCGAGTGATGGTGCAGATAAATAACAAAGAAGTGTTAGCTGTGATAGATTCGGGTGCTATTGCATCTCTGATGTCACTTGAACTTGCACAAAGTTTAAATTTGTCTATTAGTAGTGACGAGTGCATTTTCAGTGTTATTGGTGACAAAAGTGTGAGTAGCCTTGGCAAGGTAGAGTGCTCTTTATCTATTCATGGTGTACCAATGGCTGACAATACCTTTTGTGTTTTCCCTACAGTGATCAGTAATCGCATTCCATTGCTGTTGGGGGTTGATTTTCTGCAAAATAATGGCATTGAATTGTGTATTAAAAAACGGCTAATTGTTAAACATTGTACCACAGGTGGGACTGCCGAAATTTATTTGGATGATTTGGGTCATTCTCGTCAGGTAATGCTGGTGGGACTCAAATGTTTTGCCAATTCCGACGTGCATGTTGAGCCTGGTAAGGTGGAAGCTGTGCCCTTAGACTGTCCATTACCAAATATTGAACCTGACCATATGCTCTTTTATTCTGATGATGCTATTGACCATTCTTTGTCCAATGATATTCGGGGGTTTAGTGGGATTGCTGGCCCCAATACTAGACATGTACTAATGACCACTGGAGGCTCGGCTTTGACAATTAAGAAGGGGCAGTTCATTGGCACTGTGTCGACCGTAGTTCAGTTACCTAGTGATCAAACAGCCCAGCCAAATGGAATTGATATTGAGGAACTTAAATCTCAAGTAAACATTGCAGTACTCAATTCAGATCAGCAAAGTCAAGTTTTTTCTATGCTGTGTAAGTTTGGAAGTGTTTTCAGTGGGGGTGATACTGACATTGGTCTGGCATGTGTCACAGAGCACAATATTAAATTAACAAATGACACCCCTATCTTCCAACGGCCACGTAGATTTCCTCCACCAATTGCTGATGAGATTGAGCGCCAGTGTCATGANACAGTGGACTGTGGATGAGACAGAAATACCTGTGGGCTGTGGCTGTGCTGTGCTCACAGTCAATTTTATACTCTTTCTATTTCTGATAATTTGTCTTGACTCACAACTCACAAGTGCAAAAACATTATTTTAAATGCTACTCTACTCAGTCTACTGTCTAGTGAGTGTCTACTCTCTACAGACTGTACTCTAGTTGCTGCTGCACTAATTTTGCTAGCCTCCTGAGTTCAATAGTAACAATCTATTTTGTAAAGAAAACTGAACTAAAATTTTGTAAAAAAATTAAGTAGCTCTATAATATTACATGGTAATTAATCTAAACCAATTTGAATTCCAAGTTAAAAAGTAAGTTTCTATATGTATGTATCATAATGTATGAACTGTATGACCATGAACCTCTGAGGCTGTGACCTGTGTCAGCCCGGGCATGGAAAATATCTTCTTGGCAAGCCAAGACTGAATTTTTTGAGCCTTGGTTTTATGGATTTGACAGCCTTGATTCCATTTTTTTGAGTCATGAATTCCATATCTCGGCCATGAAAAGCCATGTAAAAGCTGCAAAATTATTTACAAAGTCCCTCTATCCCTGCATGTGTTACCCCAAATATCTAATTTTAGCCTAAAACAGTCAAATGGCAACAATAACATTTGTCTTTACTGTAAGCTAAATGTGTGTTAATGCAGTTTGACTGCTCTGATGTGACCGCAACTAGGCTATGCGCTATCTCCAACAAAACATTTATGATCATTAGGTTGACTTGATAAGTTGTTATATTATGATGACTATGTTTTGCAGGATATTTAGGCGGGACCATTAAAGTAATGCGGGTTGCGGAAGTTGAAAATTTTATGAATGAAATTTTTTTAATCAAACAAAAATAAATGCAAGTAAATTTGCAAGATTTCATACTTACTATAATTATAGGATGTTAGAGCCGCGATATTTCAGAAAAAAATAGGACTTTTCCCAACCTGTGTCAGGCTGTGTGGCATGCAACCAATATCAAATTTCAGTCAGAATTCTCTTGAAATTGTTCTTTTAAAAGAATAATTATTTTGAATTTGATTTTTTTTTGTCACATTGGGCAAGGTTTGGCAAAAAGGCTTAGGTGTTTTTGTCTCATTAATGGAATATGGATGGCTTCTGCCCAATTTTATATTTCACCATTGAGAATATCTTTTCTCCATGAGTGGATGTTTCAATTTTTTGAGCTGTGACTTCATAAACATATACCTATATGTAGAACTGTAGAAAGAATGAAATTTTTATTAATATCTAATTACTGTTACAACCAGCTGATGAAATCACAAATAAAAAATTTAACTGAAAAATATTTTCTTTGTAATCATGTGATTTCAATTAAAAATTTTAATTTTCCAATGTTGTGCTACTCTGCATTCATTTATATACATCAGTTACCTCATAAAGCATAGCAAGGAATGCTACAACAACAACAACATCATGTAAACCTTCTAAAAGTCACAAATCTCAATTGTAAGAGGTTGATTGGATAATATGGAATGTGACCTAATCGGAAGGATTTCATATATTTGTTCTGAAATTATATAATAATTGTGCAAGATGCCTCTCATTAAATTTGCCAGCATAGCTTCTTTCACGTCAGAAGATTTGGTGAGTTGCAGAGAAGGTTGAAGAAATTGAATCATGAATACAATATATGAATATTGCTATGGTTAAATGGAAGTAGTTCTTTAAAGCAGATTTGGTTAAAGAATAGTGTAATTCTTAGCAACAGTTTTTAACTGTTCTACTCGATTGATGTGTTTGAGCAGTTTTTTTTAATCGATATATATATATATATACCATATTTTTACATGATAAGGTGAATTTCAATTGAATGATGTATCATTGAGATAACATTATCTTTATTCACTATGATTTCAACCATTTTCAGAATCACCCTGCTGACAACTTGCTGAGATCACAGACATACCGGAAGTGGAGGATAGCTCCAACTGAATGCGGGAAGCCTGCGTCTGTCACCATAAAACTGGAAAAACTCTCTACAATCACAGCAGTTGATATTGGCAATGATGGCTGTGCATTTGTTGAAGTTCTTGTTGCAAGAGATGATAATAATTTTGAGGTTTGTTTTATCCTAGTAGGTATTAAATTAGTATAAAATCAAATTTCATAGTCAAAACTATTTTCCTGCTCAAATAGATTTCTCTAAAACTCCTCATTATAGTTTAATGATTCTTATGATTAATTATTTGAGAAGCAAATGTCAAATGTTTCTCAGATTATAGATAGTAAATTGAAAATTCCATTAAAAATTTACCTGAAAATAGGAGTGTTGATTAAGGGGGGTCTTAATTTTTAGGGTTTGCCAAATTGCCAAATATATTCAAGGTGAAGATCATTCCAGCTTGTTTTCTTTCTAGCATTTTTTCTTTTTTTAATATGATTGATAAAAATTGAAAAACTGGTATCAATATATAACCCTTTATTGGGCAAATTACTATAAATGGTCACATGGAAGTTCCTCATAAAAGACCCACAACAGCCACCAGTTTGTGTTGTCTGCTACATTGCCATGCTTCTGTCAATCACCAAATATCTGACCATCATTCTGCACATAACATCATCCAGTACCATGCCCAAGAAATAAAATATGTGTACGTATTTAAGTGAAATTTTTGACCCAGAATGCAAGATTGCTTCTCTCTCTGCATTTTTTAAAAAGATGGAAGTAGTAATATCTACCTATTTAATTAATTACATTAATTTAATGAAATGGTTGTAAATTGAAGTTTAATAGTTATCCTTACCATTTGCATCTTTGCATTTATATTACACACATTTCTGTTAGTGTAGTTACCATATTTGCTAAATTCTTCAACTGCGATTTACTCCTTTAATATGCAGAATTTCAAATAATCCATCTGAGTAAACAGATTTTAGAATGGTTCATATTTTCTTGTAATGGATTAAATATTTGAAATTTTTGCACATTCCAATGCTTACCATGAAAGGATTAAATGCTTGAAATCCAGAAAAGATTCAGTTTTAATTTTGGCTTCTATATAGGTATAAAGGTACCTACATGTATATTCAAATAAATATTATTTAAGTTCTCTTCCAATAATGTCTCCATAACTATTTTTCAAAATTTCATACAATCTGGATCCAAATACCACAATTCAAGATTGGTAACAAATTAAATTGATTAAAAAGTTATCACTCATACATATTTTTATTTGATCTCTTATTGATTTATTGACACTCAGCACTACTTTGCATAAAATTTGGTTACTTTTTCAGGTCTTGCTGCCAGCTTCATCCTTCATGTCTCCACTGGAATCCAGGAATG